TTTTCTCAGCAGCTCAGCTCCTGTTACCCTCCCCCTCCCAGCACTGACTCAGCAGTTCAACCCCTTCCACTTTCCCCTTCCAGCAGTGATGTAACAACCCAGTTCCCCCTCCCTCTCAGCAGTAACTCAACAGCTCAGCTCCCCTTCCTCCCAGGTTGCTTGGTCACTGTTGGGAGGGGGGAGCAAATATGCTGTTAGCCCCCTTTATACTATTCTCTTTGTAGGTTTTAATAATAAATCGCATCATATCTTTTTTTATCAGCTCTGCCAGTATATGAGCATAATCTGAACCGGGGGCGGACTGACAACTCATGGGGCCCCCGGGCAATAGGGGATCATGGGGCCCCTGTGTCCTTGCCCAAACTCAAAAAAGCCTATGAAAAAGGTACCAGAGGCATCTCATGGGGCCCCCTACTGACCCCGGGCCCTCGGGCAGTGCCCGAGTTTTCCAAATGGTCGCTCCGCCCCTGATCTGAACATGTTCCTTTCATTACAGCAGAATAGAAGATAATGAAATATGTAAAAATGTAGTTGCTTCTTTAAACTACAAAGGTGATTGTAATGTCAATGTGGAGCCTTTCTTTATCCGCCAACATCATAGGACGTACAAGCTGCAAAGTGAAAGAAAAGATGAGCTTTGTCTGATCACATGGCAGATTCATTTCCAGTCATAAAACAGTTAAATTTCTTCCCATGTTGCTTGCTTTGCTGCATTATTAGTCCCCGTGTATTGCAAAAAACTTCATCTTTTCCACATGTATGTGAAACGTTTATCACATATGTGTGACATGTGTCACCTTTCAGAGAAGCCTTTGTGACTTCTGTGTCATAACAAATTGAAGTCCAGTTCCTCCTTCTGTGGGAAATTATTCTCTAGAAATTCCAGTGATATGAATACAAGTATTCCATGGTGAATACAAATACTGTATACATTTGGTGCATGTCCTGGTGGGATATCATTCATGGTACTGGACTGTACAGATATATTAGATTGTAAGCTCCCAGGAGCAGGGCCTTCCTTACCCTCCTGTATCATTGCTGTATTCTCTCCCTTTATATTGCAAAGCACTGAGCAAACTGTTGGTGCTATATAAATCCTGAAAAAATAAATATATCAAAAGTGTATATTCACCGTGCAAAACCACACACCAAAAAAAAAAATTAATTAAATTGCCTAACAACGTAATGAGTGAATAGCAAATGACTCACATAAATGAATACATAAATGGAACATGTATAGTGCTGCTGCCTTAAAATAGTGAAAAAAAAATCAATAATCACCCCATAAATCTTTACAATGACAAGGGAAAGCAGAGCAAAAAATCAAGTATAACACAGTGACTCAAATAAATATACAATTAAAAAATGTGCTAAAAATAATAAATGTAAATGTATAAAAATCAATTAAATGAAAAAAGTCCAGTTCTTCAAACGCATAAATACTGTAATTGAAATAAGTCCACCAAAATGTGATTGAGTAAGAAGTCCTTCTGATCCACTAAAAGTCACTACGTGAACATATGAAATTAATTGAGTAAGTGCACGAAACTTCACTCAAGTGTTACCACGTGCTCCAGAGGAAAGCCAACCTCAATTCAGTGGCACTCACCAGATATCGTGGCCCATGTAAACTTGATAGGCAATCGCGCTTATGGCGAGTGTCAGACGTAATAAGGATCCTCAAACACTTAGCCCCTCGGCAATTAGAGGCTGAGTAGATGGCGGGACATCCTCCAAAATATTTACTCCATCACAAGGGAAAGAGATAAAAGAGAGCTCATAGCGTAATTCCGCTAAAAAACATTTATTACATAGAAAGTAATGAACTCACATAGGAAAAATACAAGAATGCCCAACATCCACAATATCCACGGAAGGTGGCAGTGTATCATACAGAAAGCGTCTCACCCGATCCTCCTCGCTGCTCTCGAGTGGTACGTCACTTCTGGTGGGTGATGTGAGGTGGATGCCTGTTACAACATACGTTGTGTGGCCCGACCCTGATGCGTTTCGTCACCTGACTTTATCAAAGGGTTGACTTGACTCCAGGGGCGGACTGACAACTCATGGGGCCCCCGGGCAATAGGGGATCATGGGGCCCCTGTGTCCTTGCCCAAACTCAAAAAAAACTATGAAAAAGGTACCAGGGGCATCTCATGTGGCCCCCTACTGACCCCGGGCCCTCGGGCAGTGCCCGAGTTTCCAAATGGTCAGTCTGCCCCTGCTTGACTCTCTATCTTTCCCCTACAGCAGATTCCAATAAACTGACACCATGGGGTTGATTTACTAAAACTGGAGAGTGCAAATCTGGTGTAGCTCTGCATAGAAACCAATCAGTTTCCAGGTTTTTTTTTTTTGTTGTTGGTTTTTTTTCTCTCTTTCACGCTCTTCCCTCTCTCCCTCTTTCTCTTCCCTCTCTCTTCCCTCTCTTTCTTTCTCTTCCTTCTCTCTCTCTTCCCTCTCTCCCCCCTCTCTCTCTCTTCCCCCTCTCTTTTCTCTCTTTCTCTCTTCCCTCTCTCTCTTTTCCCCCTCTCCCCCCCCCTCTCTCTCTTCCCCCTCTCCCCCCCCGCCTCTCTCCCCCCCCCTTTCTCTCTCTTTCCCTCTTTCTCTCTTCCCTCTTTCTCTCTTCCCTCTTTCTATCTCTTCCCTCTCTTTCTCTCCTCCCTCTTTCTCTTCCCTCGCTCTCTCTCTTTCCTCTCTCTCTCCCTTCCCTCTCTCTCTTCCTTCTCTCAGATCGTATGGGACTGTATACACACAGTATGATTACCCCCCTTCCAAGGGCTGCTGATCTCTGGGTAGCAGGAAATGTGAGCAGGGGGTGGTAATCATAATGTGTGTGTGCAGTCATATACAATCTATCAGTGATCACGTATCATGTGCTGGATGGTCGACAGGCATGTGAGCCCAGAGAACACAACACAGCTCACCTCCTCCTGGCTCTTTCCTCTCTACCACTTCCCCTCTCTCTGCTCCAGGCTTTCCCCTGGTCCTGGCTCTGAGTGCGGTCAGGGGAAGGAGCTCAGTGGAGAGCAGCCACTCAGGAACACCAGGGCACCCCCTCCATCCGGCCAGGTCTGTCTCTCCCTCCAGCAGCAGAAAGCTGACGAGAGGGAGAGGAGGAGAAACCTCAAACTGGCTTTCAGCTGCTGGAAGGAGGGATACACAGTGTATCCTTCTGCAACTACCCACCCCCACCCACCACACCGATCCTCCTGCTGTCCAGGCCACCTACAGGAGTACCAGTTGTACTTCTCAGATGGTGGCTCTGCATGGCTCTGTCCACCACTGCTCACCAGGTACCTTCTTCTGAGGGGGTGCCGCCCCCCTAAAAATTGCTGCCCTAGGCAAATGCCTTGTTTGCCTCACTGTAGATACACCCCTGCTTATACAAATGGAGTATAACTAGAATAGATAACATTCAAGGGGTAGAAATAAACATATATTTTGTGTCGGTCGATTAAGTAGAGCTTCCAGGTTTTATTGTCAAAGCTTAATTGAACAAGCTGAAGTTGGAAGCTGATTGGCTACCATGTACAGCTGCACCAGATTTTTCACTCTCCAGTTTTAGTAGATCTACTTCTATGGCTGCTTATACCAAATCCCCATTATGGGCCTTTATATGTTAGCCATGATCCAATGCTTGGGCAGATTCCTTACAAAGAAATGGTAGCAGCAACTCTGAACCTCACATTTAATGAATTAATAACGTCCACACATTAAACAAAATATATGACTTTCCTTTTAAGCAAATAAATAACAGAAATAAAATAAAATAAAGCCAACATAAAACATAAAAACCATAAGAATTGTCCAAAATATCAAAATGTTCAAAATTCAAAAAAATATAAAAATACAAAAATAATCCCCACAGGTGTAAATGATAATTTTCCTTCTTCTTTCATCACCAAAAAAAATCCTTCTCAATACCCGCAAATCCTGATGACCGTACACCTCAAAAAGAAAAAACTTGACATAGTGTCATACCTTAAAATAATATTACAACACACGTGCCACTCACTGTGCAGCATGCAGAAATCTTTATAGATGTGTATACTCTAAACGAGTATCTATACACATGCAAATATTCTATAGTGAATATCAATATAAGTGAAGCACACTCACATAAAATAATATAAAAGCACAATGTGTAAAACACTCCAAAATATCACTGCGTCAGGGACACGTGACGTCAGACGTATCGACGTTGACCGGAAGTGCGATCGTGGCCATCTTGGAAGTGGGAACATGTGGCCAATGTTTCCCTGAACCAGTCTATGCTTGTATCCTTGTGAGGAGGAGCTGTTGCCACCCAAATGTTATGTGAGTTACCAATAAAGGAGGATATCTTTTATATACTGTGACTGTGGATTTTCTTGAGGATAATGGAAGAAATAACCCTAACATTGGAGAAAATCGTTATGAGGAGAAATTAACCCAGAGTGGTGTTTTTGCCCTGCTGTTTCTTTTATAGGGTAATTACCCATCGGCATATGAGTTGGAGAGTGTTGATTTGGGTTTAGGTGATCACTGATGTATACAGGGTGTGGTGATACACACTTGCAGTGATATTTTTTGTTTAATCAGCCTTCAAGGGTGGAGGTGGATAACTTTTCTGGGATACTATAGGGTGATTTGTTGCTGTGTAGAAATATAAACGTCCACACATTATATTTTCTACATGACACAGACAGGATGAGCACGCCAGATAAATGTCACAAACATATCGATGATATCTCAGAACACACTCCATGAACTGTGCAGACTCTCTCCTCGCTGTACGCTATTTTTTTTCTTATTTCCTTTTTTTGCATCAGTACATGCCCCCATTGCAGTGCTAAACTCCCCTCCTCTTTTAATAATAGTTTGCCTATGAGCCCCAAAAACCATCCTGAATTTACTAACAGGATTCACCCCCTAATAGACTTGGCATACGGTGTGCTCTCGGCGAATCAAACCCAGTCCATATTCTCTACTCATCATCTCTTTTTATATATTCGCAGATATTCAACCTCATGAAATATGACAGCTACAGTCGTTTCCTGAAATCGGAGAAATTTCAGAAGTTGCAATCTTCGGAGGAGAGTGAAATTTCCAGCTCCAGACCAGGAGAGTCAGCACCGAAACGAGCATCAAGAATCTACAACACATGACTTTCTGAACTGACAGATAAGATGGATTCGCAGAGGACTAGCCACAAGTAGAACAGCAGGAGGAACACATGCTCTGCACAGTCTGAAGGGCCGGAGCCTGTCGATTGTTAGTGTTTTTCTATATTCAAGTAACAACATCTCTGCCAGGTTTTTATATTACCAGAAGATATTGTCCTGTACACAAAGACGCAAACCCATGTGTCCCCTGCCATGCCTCTGTTTGTGATAAATTCCCACCCAGTACCTGAACAGTCACAACCGCGTCTGAAATGTCTTTGTTTTCCAAACACCTTTGGATGGCGGTGTTATATTGTGTTTCATGATTTTGCTAGAACTGAGTGAATCCTTAAAATCCTACATATCTTCTCTTGCAATCCACATTGCCCAATTCTTTTCTTTATCATTAAAAAAAAAAATCCAGCCCAATTCCCTTTAAAGGATGCCAATAGAAACAGAAACAACACCTCCTGTGCTCTAGGACCCAGAGCAAGGGTGGATAGATGGAAAAGGAACTTGTGGAAATTCGTCCACCAAAGCATAAAGGTTGTGCGGCTCTAAATAAGGCTGGGGAAGCCCAAACAGTACTGCAAAGTGAAACAAAAAGAAAGCGCACCAACCTTGCGCATTACCTCAGTAAATTGAGATATATACTCACAAACAATGAAGTAAAACAAGCGTATAGGATCCTCAAAGGAACATTTAAAGAGCTCTGATGAAGAAGGGACCCCCTTCAAAATGCGTCAGCCGAACTTTGAGAGTCTACTCTCGTGATGTGACTCGCACTGGTTTTACACTTCAAATGTTCTTTTGAGGATTCTATACGCTTGTTTTACTTCTTTGTTTGTGAGTATATATCTCAATTTAATAAAATCAGTTTACTGAGGTAATGTGCAAGGTTGGTGCGCTTTCCCTTAAAGGATGCACCTGACCCCACCTACATATTCACTTAATCAGAGACCTGTAGTCTGCAGAGAAAAGAACCAGAAGGTGGGTTTCTGGGAAATTCCCACACTTCAGTCCCAATGTTCTCAACAAAACGTCTTACCCGCTTCCTGCTGAAAAAATAATGAATCTAATGGAGATTCACTGTGGAGGGTGGCATTCTGGGAAATTCATAGGAAATATTGTATAGCAATAGAAGCCCCTGGTGTGCTAGGCTGAATCGCAAACCCAAGTGATAGTGGACTGTGTGCAGTGGATTTCCGGATATTCTCAGATATCTGGGAATCAGCCCAATCTGGGTCAAGTATGGATCTGTAAGGATTGCTTCACTCACAAATTTCCTCTCTAGGAAAGGCTGTAAATTATTCTGCTGGCTTTATGTGAGATTCTTGTTGAAATGGTGTATATGTCTAAACTAAAGAAAATAAAATGTTTTCATAATAAATGTAGGCGGGTGAAGGCTATGTCATTTTGCAGTTTAAAGACATTTACAGATGAGATTATGATTAACCTATTTTCCTCCTAGTGCCCAGTAATGGGACAGCTACATCACTTCCTGTTAGCAGCATGGATCCATTCTGACATCAGAGGATCTTGGGACCTGTAGTCCTATAACCAATGCATACTGTATTACTGAGTGCTGATTGAACTACACATATCAGAGAGCTGGCAAACGCGGATGCTGGGAGAGCAGATATATTCTGCATGGGACAGGCTGACTCTCTTGGCATGGGATTCAGAGCTGGACAAGGGAGACTGCTGCTCTCCTCCAGAGACAGATTGAGGGACTCTGGACAGCAGTTCAGTATAGCTGTAATGCTGATCGCCACACACCAGGATTGCATCAGTCTTTCTCTGCAGCGAGACTGTTACTGTTTGGCCCCCACTCAGTCAATGCAGCTCGCTCCACTGACAGGCTGTTAGGCGGGAACTCTACACATCTCTGCAGACAGTCAAGAGCCTGTTCAAGAATTCTGTTCCTAGGAGGCAGCGCTATCTACAGGATTTGTGAGGGGGTAGATGCCCAACCTCTTTCTGTCATCACTCTTGAGACACTGCATGCAGACATCTTTACACCTTAGCCACCAGGAAACCTTTTCTTTGAGATGTACCACAGCCTAATTGTTTAATTTAATTGAATTACCAATACTCAATAATGTTTATGGGCCCTACCATTGCTATCAGAAGACCGTGGCTACCACCATATTAGGAACTTTTAACATCACCGGACTCATGCTACAATTTATAGTTCACCACTTCCTTTCTAAGGTCAGTGTTACTCAAGCCAGGGTACTTACACATGTTTATGCAGGGGTATATATTTACATAATTCTCTGCCCTAACCCTTGTAATGCCTCTGGCGCAGAGGGAGCTGATAAGTCAACAAGTCTTCTCTTCCCCTTCTTGCTGCCAGTGTTGCATTTAAATGGTTGAAACTTAATTTGCATAACTGTATCATCTGTTAAACGTTGCTAATTGACTGTTTCTATTGTACCAGTGTTTCTGCTTTCATGTGTTAATTGGGGTTGTGCACCCTAAACCCATTATTTCTTTGGCCTACTCTTTTGAGCAAGTCTAATATAGAGGTTTTACTAAAGAATTGTGTCTCTTGCATTATTATTCTCTACTATTGAACTATGTCTGAACCCAGAGTGTCAGAGATGTCAGGAGGCTTGCAAGGTCAAGACAACCATTGGGGACAAGCATCATTGAGCGCTGCCCCTACAACTCCTGGGGCCAAGTTAACTCCTTGAAGAACGTCTTGGAGGAAAATCTTCAACTTGGACATAGAATAGCAGCAGCTTCTTGAGTTTTAGCTACTCTGAGACAGTGGGTAAAATAAGTATTGAACACTTCACCATTTTTCTTGGTAAATATATTTCTAAAGGTGCTATTGACATATTTTCCCCGCATGTCAGTAACAACCCATGCATTCCATACATACAAAGAAACCAAAACAAAAGTTCAAAAATTAGTTTATGTGTAATAAAATGGAATGACACAGGGAAAAAGTATTGAACACGCTAACTGAAATTTATTTAATACTTCGTACAAAATCCTTTGTTGATAATAATAGCTTCAAGATGCCTCCTGTATGGAGAAAACTAGTCGCATGTGTTGCTCAGGTGTGATTTTGGCCCATTCTCCCACAGTCTTCAAATTTTGAAGGTTTCGTGGGCTTCTTCTATGAACTCTGATCTTTAGTTCTTTCCATAGATTTTCTATTGGATTCAAGACAGGTGATTGGCTAGGCCATTATAGCAGCTTTATTTTCTTTTTCTGAAACCAATTGAGAGTTTCCTTGGCTTTGTGTTTGGTATCATTGTCTTGCTGAAATGTCCGCCCCCTCGTTTCATCTTCATCATCCTGGTAGATGGCAGCAGATTTTCATGAAGAATAAATTTTTCCATTCAGCCTTCAATGACATGGTTTGCCAGTACCATATGCCGAAAAAACAGCCCCATACCATGATGTTCCCACCTCCATGCTTCACTGTTGGTATGGTATTTTTGGGGTGATGTGCAGTGCCATTTGATCTCCAAACATGGTGTGTATTATGTCATCCAAAGAGTTAAATTCTGGTCTCATCTGACCAGACTATATTCCCCCAGTATTTCACAGGCTTTTCTAAATGTTGTGCAGCAAACGTTAAACGAACTTCAGCATGCTTTTTCTTCAGCAATGGCGTCCTGCGTGGTGAGTATGCATATAGGCCACTGCATATAGGCCATGGCGGTTGAGCGCATTAGTTATTGTTTTCTTTGAAACAATTGTACCTCCTGATTCCAGTTTATTCTGAACCTCTCCACAAGTGTTCCTTGGCTCTTGGACAACTCTTCTGATAATTCTTTTCACTCCTCTGTCAGAAATCGTGCGAGGAGCACTTGGTTGTGGCCAGTTTATGGTGAAATGATGTTCTTTCCACTTCTGGTTTATGGCCCCAACAGTGCTCACTGGAACATTCAAAAGTTTAAAAATCCTTCTGTAACCAATGCAATCAGTATGTTTTGCAATAAGAAGGTTGTGAAAGTCTTGAGAGAGCTCTTTGCTTTTACCCATCATGAGATGTTTCTTGTGTCTCACCTTGGTAATGAGACACATTTTTATAGGCCATCAGTTGAGACTGAACCAGCTGATATTAATTTGCACTGACAAGGGGCAGAATTACTAATTACTGATAGATTTCAGCTGATGTCTTATCTTTCCATGCCTGTTTGCGCCTCCCCTTCTTCGTGTGCTCAATACTTTTTCCCTGTGTCACTCCATTTTATTACACATAACCTAATTTCTGAACCTATTTGTTTTGGTTTCTTTGTATGTATGGATAGCATGGGCTGTTACCAGGGGCGGACTGACCATTCATGCACTCGGGCACTGGGTCAGTAGGGGGCCCCCATGAGATGTTCCTAGTACCTTTCATAGGCTTTTTTGGGTGTGGTTTGAGTGTGGGTGAGGACACAGGGGCCCCATGATCCCCTATTGCCCAGGGGCCCCATGAGTTGTCAGTCCGCCCCTGGTTGTTACCAACGTGTGGTGAAAGTTTCATGTCAATAGCACGTTTAGAAATATGCCTAGAAAAATGGTGACATGATCAATACTTATTTTACCTGCTGTATATTAGAGCTTTGTATATTTGACTTATTTTCAGGTATATTTTTCAACGCCATCAATGGGATGCAGAGGAGACAATTATGGAGGAGGCCACTGAGCCTGATCTACAAAGAAGCCAAAAACACAGAGAGAATGGATACAGATGCACAGGTATTTATGCTATGTTTCCTTTAGGCCTCTCATGAAACTCACTACTTGTCATAGAAGCTCACACATCTTTGGGCGGTGAGTTTTGCGCTAGAAACTTCTTCTGTAAATCATAATTAGATGGGTGTTGTGAACATTTTGACAACAAATGCTGGATGGAACATTGACAGCAAGCTAAGCCTCTACACCGCAGAAAAACAATTGGCATTAAACCTTTAAAAAGCAAGGTCACCTACCACCATTTTGCACACATCTACACATCATCCAGACATCTAGATGGGTGTTGTGCCATTTGGGATTTCACAGGTTGGGTCTATTTATTCTTTGTAAATGTGCCTAAAACGTTTGATTCAGTGCACCTATCTTCATATCTTGAACCCATGATGTTAGAGACAGCCAAGTACACAAAGTCTTATGCTGCTTCTTTGTCCTTTTTCTTCTCCAGAAACTACTTCACATCTTGTCATAATGAGCTTGTCATTGTTGAAATTACTGTCATAACACTGTTCACCGTATTTTGTGCTGGTAGTGCTGTACTCACCACAATGAATAACAAAATCTGCCAGATTTAAACTATGGCTGTCTGTGGATGGATATCTAACTATCCTTGAATAAGAACAATCCATAAATAAGTTATTAGTGTGTTGAGAGCCACTGAAAGTATCAGCTGTTGTAAATAAAATTGTGTGTTTTGCTGGTTATTACTGGGCCTCTATGGGCCCCATAGTCCATATACACAAGCAAAAACTCTCTGCAGGTCTAACAGCAGCATGAAACACATTACAAAATCAAATTATATAATTTATGCATAAGAAAAAGTCAAATGAGATCAGAAAATAAACAATGTAAGTTGTTTAGTCATCAGTTGTAAATTTATAAGGAAACCAGTTAAAATATTACCAATTTATACAGATGAAAAGGTGGCCTAACTCAGCATCAAGGCACTGACCATCTTTTTACTGGTGGATGTGGGTGAGCAGTATGACTTTTATAGTATTCTGTATTCTATATAGTAGTTCCAGAAGCTTTATCCATCACCACCTTAAATTTACTTTTGCCAGGGATGTCAGAGACTGGTACATGTTGGTGCAATCCAACTGCCAATTGATCAAAATTTATTCTCATACAATTGCACATTCAGATGGCCCAAGCATGCATATTTGTGTCTTGACAACAGGAGTTGGAAGAACCCTCGGCAGTGGCTAAGTTTTGGATAAAAGCTAACAGCTTTCCCTTAGGACCTTGTTACCATAATGTGTCTTGAGGGACTGGACTTTGAGGGGGTGTGAATTATATACCTGGTATCATTCAGATGGAATGCGTTTTCCAGTGGGGTTGAAGCTTCAGCAGCCCCACTAAGAGAGCCCCTGAGTGCATGTAAACTTGGGCACACAAAATCATGCAGCCCTGGAGGTTCATACTGATGGTAAGTGTCTTGGCTTTGAAGTTGAAGCACTGTGCCCTGGATTGCTCTGTGACCTAAAGAGTAAGCGAAGACTCCACTGCTTACAAGATCCTTAATGACACTCCTAATCTCTTTCTGTTACAAAGATTAACACATATGTCTCAGGAAAACAACTATTGAACATATTTGCTCCATGATGTTCCATGATGTCCACAAAGAAATAATCACTTTGGGAATGGTTGGATTTTCAGTCTAATGGTTTAGCCAGTTCTCAAGGCCACTTTCTGTTTTTTTGGCAGCCAATTTGATGCAGTGCTCAGCTGAAGCTATGGAGAATATATACAGAAACTTTGCATGCAACAAGAGCTCTTCAAGACGCACATAGACACCGAGTGCTGTGGGTTTGTCACAGGAAGTCAGACGGCTGGGAAATTTCACAGTCTATGTGGCTGTGACAGTGTGGTAGAGGACAGGAAGAGCAGAGAAGTCTCATGTGAAGGTAGAACAAGCTGTCACCCCTTTCTACATAATGGTTTGAGTTTTGCAAAGAACATTTTGAGTCTTACATTACGCTCAATCTGCTTTTCCAGAAGACAAGTGTCATGTTTGATACAGTATGTATAAATATGTAATTGGTGATCAGATGTTGCAGGTGACCCTTTTTTTGGCACCTCTGTCAGCATCTATGTTTCATTGGGTACAACGTCCTCCAGTCAAAGTGAACCTATCAAGATTACAGTATGAGAGCTGTCTTTGCAGGCTTCATGTACCTTATCCTTCCTATACCCTTTATATTATTAAAAGGCATTGCAACTTTCTGTTTTCACTGGAGGTTTTTCCAGCTGAACTCTGGTAAAGCTACAGCCTATTTTCTGTAAATGTATAGAGAAGAGCCCAGATCTGAGTGATCAGTCTTGCTTATACAATCCATATGACTATCAATCCTTCTCCTCTGTGGTACAAATTGGGCTGAATATTCAATTTTCAAACCTGGAGGATTCTGTTACCAGGACTGAATTCAACAGGGAAGTGTATGGAGCACATGATGGATCCAAACCCTTCTTGCAATAATGACAAGGCCCCAACAAATTGTTCCCTCAGCATTCTGCACATTACTACAAACTCTCTGCATTTTGTAGTAACAGTTCCCTTCGCACTAGTCCTTGGTTGACTCACCTTCTGCCTAATGTCTCTTTCTTGCCTGGTCTGTGGTCAGCTCCTGCTCTCTCCAGATGTTTTATGTTCAGCTATCTGACCTCTCTCACCTCCATACTTTGCTGAGATCAGTGGCCACTCTACCTCTTATACCCCGACTACAATCACACTCTGTCTTCCTTATGATTATATCGAATAAGAAGCCTCCCTTGAGCAAATAGTATGCAGCTAAAATAATGTCTGACTTTGCAGTAATGAACACCAATCAGTTATGAATCAGAGCCAAAGGCCAAAAATAACACGTTCAGGCATGTTTACAGATGTCACAGACAATAAAGGGTAATGGTCCCTCTGTGCTATACACTGAATGTTGGAGAGACTGTAAGCCCTAAAAAGGACAAGGAGTGTCAGTTATTGCCATCAGATCTTCACCAGTGCAGCCTGCAATTGGGTGATTGACTTCACTGGAAAGTGGATCCAGGTTGCGGTCCTTAGGCACAACTGTGTATATGGCAGCTGAAAAGGGATCAAAAAAGTCGACAAATTTAGAAAAAGGGACAGTCTAAAGGTCAGGGCAGGCAGGGAACAAGCACAGTCAAGTACAACCCAAAGTCAGCAACCAGAGGATTAAAAATGCAGGAGCACAGGGGCTAACACAGACTGGAGCTTTGGACAAAGAAATGAACCAACCTCCACAGTTGGCCTCCCAAAGTTAGGTTTGATGGTTTTCTAAAATTTCTGCAAATATGTACTTCTTAACACCATCCAAAATTTTCCTTGAGACCGTGGAATATGTATTATATACAGGTACTGTGAAGGTGCAACTGATGTCCCATTAACAATGCCAAAGAAGAGGAGCCTCAGACCATTGTCAGGTGGAGGTGGCTAGATAATAATAAAGCACAATTACAATTGTTCTTGACTAACCTGATCAGATGGTATATTCCTTATACTGGATTTTTTTTTTGTTCTGCTGTCCCTACTGCAAATATTGCAGTAGGGCCCTTCATGATGCAGCCAACTAATAATATACATTCTGCAGCAAGATGTTCCATGCATCTATCCATACTCTCAGAGACAGACATGTGCCACTTACTTCACATGGAATACTAACACACGAAATTAAATTTTAAGTCCTTTGTTTTTCCACAAAATGTCGTAACAAAAGTTAGACATGCTAAAAAATCCTGAAAAATAAAACATTTTTTTATTTCTTTTGTTGAAAATAAAGATATAGAGTACAACTGCGGACATAGAGGCCAAGAGGCCCATTGGTCTTGTCATTTGTTATGTGGATTTAGTCCTTTTTTTTGTGTGTGTGTATTTTGTGATTTTTTTTACCTGTTACATGCAATTGGCAATGTCCTATTGCAGAGTCATGTGACTGTGGGAGGTATAATTTTTCTTGTTTCACCCCTGTCATAAAAGGAGGGGCTTGTACCCCCTCACCTGAGCGAATCTTCCATGTGAGGCTTCACTGCGAGAAGAGGAAAGAAACTCCCGTCTGTCAATACCGCCGACATACATATACAGACTTCCTTGGCGGAAGGCTGTCAGGCCTCTGACTCTCCTCTCTCTTTGACGTCAGCAGCAGAAGAAGGTCACCACTCCTGACTGTATTTCCCTGTTGGCGAGTTCACTTCCTCACTAACTGCTTCCCGTTGAGTTGGAACTGATATGGTTGGTGTTCACGTGATGGTTTATGGAGGACTTGGGGCCAGGCAAACTGTTGGAGTTGTTTTGGTGCTGGAGAAGAAAAAAAAGAATTAGACATTTTTTCAGATTTCAAAGACAGATGTACATATCCTTTTTGGAAGTAGAAGTGGTTTAGTAAAATGACTTTGCACCTGACAAACCTTTGTTTTCTCACAAAAACTATGCGGGGTCCAAAAAATAACTGTGGCAGAAGTGCCTCAAGAGAACGTATGAAAGCATGTGTCAGACTACAGATATGTTGTTCAGCTTTGTATGTGTCACCCTGGTTGTTCAGTGGTCTGTATCAATCACCTGGCATGGGTCAGCATTGTATAACTGGCCCATGTAGAAGACTGCATGTTAGTATAACGCAGTGTTTCTCAACTCCAGTCCTCATGGACCCCCAACAGGTCATGTTTTCAGGATTTCCATTATTTTGCACAGGTGATTTGATCAGTTTCACTGCCTTAGTAATTACCACAGCTGTTTCATCTGAGGGAAATCCTGAAAACATGACCTGTTGGGGGTCCATGAGGACTGGAGTTGAGAAACACTGGTATAACCCAACCTAAAGAAGGTCCATGCATACTTACAGCAAGTCAGCTTGGGAAGCCAAAGAAACGTCTAACACTTATGCTTTACATCCCCCTTGAAAGGCCATAATTAACACTCACTTAATTTTTTATCAGGCTGAAACTCAAGGATACCTGTCCTTATGCAACTCTGTAGCACAGACTGTAATGGCTCCATTTGAGCAGTACACGTCTCCCCCTTTTTTGAGATTTATACTGCGGGTTCTTCGGACCCAAAACCCACTATAATATGTAAAGGGGTCTGAACCCTTGCAGTCAGGTCTGAGGTCACCCCTCAAAACACATTAGCAATCTGGTGGGTCCTCTCACGGTTTGGGAGTTGACTTGTTGACCAGGTCGCTTTGGACTTTGACAAGCTATTATTATCACAGTTGTTTGTGAGTATATACTTATCCTTGTACCATTAATGTTTTTGTCTCAGGTAATGCACTAGACTGGTGCTCCCTTCTTTCTTTAATTATTTTACAGTGACTATTCTGGGTTCCCCCGACCCTTAGGGGGCAGCAAAGCCTGTGTCAGCATCAGAAGTGCCAAATATCTAACATTTATCCATCACCAGTACACCAGTCTTGAGCGCAGAGGATTCTTTGATTATCCATCGAGTCAGGTCTGATGATCTGAGGAACATGTATGACTATGTTGATCCTTCATCTGAAGAATCAGAAGTTGAAGCTGAACCTGTTTTTGTAGGAATGGTGCTAGTTGGCAAAATGCTGAAATACATTTTCTGTCTCTTGAAGATCTGTTAAGCCTTAAATAAACAATAACAAACTTTCCTTTTTCAATGAAATTCTAGAAAGTCCTATCATGGAAAGGTTTAAAAAGGTAAAATGAAACCTCTAAAGCTAGCCATAGATGGATTGAATTTTGGTCAGTTTAGCAGGAACTGGCTGAGATTTGATCCATCTATGGGCAGGCTGCTTGTACTGAAGTCAATCCATCAATTGAATACAACCAGCCTGTCTGATTTTTTCATGCAATTACAGCTGGCAGCTATAGTAAACCAGCAGTGATCATTGTGTTCTGGGACAGGAAAGGCTCCCTGCCAGCATAACACAATAGCACTGCAGGAGGGATTCCCCATCAACAATGGCTGTGTTGATGGGGAACTTAAGTAATTTTCTTTCCCTCAACCCGTGGTTACAGGAAACAAAATTGCTTAATGTATGGCCTGCCTTAGTGTCATTTTTTTTAATACGGCACAGTGGCTTAGTGGTTAGCATGTCTGCCTTGCAGTAAATGGGTCATGGGTTCGATTCTGACCATGGTGCCTCCTGCATGGAGTGTGCATGTTCTCCCTGTGCTTTCCTGTGTGGGTTTCCTCTGGGTGCTTGGTTTCCTCCCACACCCCAAAGACATGCTGGTAGGTTCATTGGATCCTGTCCAAATTGGCCCTAATATGTGTATGTATGAATGTTAATTAGGGACCTTAGATTGTACACCCCTTGAGGGTTAGGGACTAATGTGAATGTTCAATATATATGTGTAAAGTGCTGTGTAAAATTGACAGTGCTATATAAGTACCTGAAATAAATAAAAATACACAACAATCTTGCCGGTAGTCCTAAACATTAGTGCAATGGATACATGTGAAGAGTTCACCCAGCATTAGGAATCTTTGTGTTTTCCACATTCTATAATAAAGAAGAATTCCTCCTAATAGAGCCCCAGCGTACACAGTTCCTGGAAAGAAGTTGGCACCAGAAAGACAAAGCTGACAAAATGCATTATATTAACTACTGTCTGCATTAGAAAATAACTTTCTCAGCAAGTGCGTACAGTTCCCTAGATCTTTCTGGAGACCCCTTCCCTGGACAGGACATGGGCAAGTATGACCCTCTGTTCTTCTCACACCTGACGTTTAAAGATGCGATGCAGCAGACTCTTCTTAGGTGGCTCTGGTGGGTGACTCCGATTGAGATCAGGGGACAGGGTACCGTTAGGCCCGAAAACATTCAGTTCTTTGAAGCATTCAGTCTCTATCATCTAAGGGTGGAGAGCAAGTGTTGTTACATGACTCTACACTGTGTACAAAGCCTTGCGTGAATGCAGCCAGTATTATCTTATTATATAGTAATATACTGCATGTCCTAAGGGGCAATAGATAATCTGTTTAGGAAAATGTGTGAGACTTTCTTTTCAAACTGTTGTCTCCTTATGATCGTAATGGCACATAAAGGTGTTTAGCAAAATTGATCTACCACTACCAACAGGCCACTGATAGCGCAGGATGGTGGAGCTGTGTATGTGTAACATCCAATCAAATTTCAGCCGCTACTTTTCTAGTGCAGCTCATACCATGAAATAAAATATCTTATTGGCTGTTAGGACTCAACCTGGAATTCTGCCACCCTGCTTTGTTTATTGAGGTCCCTTCTTGGTTCATCTTCTTACCTCGTTTTGCCAGGGGATGGACACTGAACCTGTAGAGAACTTGCTGTAGAAGTCGTCGTCTGTTTGGTCTAAGTTCACTCCCTTCACAGTGGAAAACTGTTCTATGTCCAGGACATCTTTGCAGTAGACAGCTCGAGGCTGGAGCAGAGTATCAGTCACATGTAAGTTTACAGGGAAACTGTAACGGGTTTGCATCACTTCTATTTGTTTCTTTATGCGACTGCAAGTTGTTTCTTTATGCTGAATTCCAGTTTAAAAAAATACTTTAGACTTCCTACAATACTCAGCTTCAATCCAGAGCTCCTCCACCAACAGTAATTTCTTTTAGCCAATAGATGTCCTTGGTCTTCTGGCCTAAATAACAGCCAGTGTCATTCAATCTACTTCATCTAAGCCCATGCTGTCATTGACCTGTCCCCTGGGCAGGCGTTCTTACACAGTCTGAGCTCAGAGTAATACTGCACTGGATGGTGTCACATCTCATTACACAAGAGGTGTTTAGTGCAGCAGTAAGGATCGCCCCAGTCCTTACTGCTGCACTGAACACATGTCATGAGTCTTTCTTCTTCTCCCTAAGTGGTGGTGGGGGTGGTGGCCACCACCAACACTGGGGGGAGAAGAAGAAAGATCCATTTTCTCAATTGGAGGGCAGCATCTAACGTAATCATTTTTTTTTTTTTTTACAAATCTTCTATAATATAACCAGAAAAAGACGTACATATAACAGTGATAACCCTTGTCTTGAAAGCGCCATCCTCAGGGGCCCCTCCACTCATCTGTGTACTGCTGCTGTATTCCTTACTAAGACCAGCTTGTATGGAAGCAATGCCACAAACATTGTCATGCAAGTGGGTCTGTATGTTCAGCTCAGAGTAATGGCAAGCAAAAAGAGCATTTGCCATCCTACATTAACCACTATCTAGCTGGGACTATGGGGCCACAAAAGAAGGTCCCATGGACCTCCAGTTGGACAGCCATAGACTATATCAATGCTGGGAGCTTATGGAAGCTATACTATGAGTGGAGTAGACATGGTCAATAATGGTGACATATGGGAGCTGCATTGGGTGACATAAAAAAAAAATATACAGGGTAGGAGGAGTTACAAACAAGACAATTCCTTCATGCATGCAATCACTTAGCATACAGGATCAGAAGGAGCACATAAAGTATACATAGTGCCCGCTGAGGCTGATTATTTCATCAAATTTAGCTTCATAATGTCCAGCTACTAATATCAGCTCTCTGAGGAATACTCACATCTGGGACAAATGGAGGATCCATCATTCCTGCTTCTAACCTCTTAAAATTTATGACTTTGAAGAAAGGATGTCTCTTGACCTCTGTTACCCTCTCATTGTGACACCCAAGCCGATGCCTCACATCTTTGGTTAGAAGCTGAAAATTATTTCATAGAATTAGAATTAAATAAAACACAGGAAGCTCTGTAACATGTATGATATAGGTAATGAGGATACATGACATTGGGGTCTACCACTTGACACCACCACACTCTCCTGGGATTGGTTGATACCAGGAACTAACCGAAGGTCCATTACACATAACATGGATGTGAGCTAACATGGATGTGAGGTTCTAGACATTTACCAACATGCTGGACAATTATCTGCCTTAAAATATATAGTCATTGCATACTGATTAACACTGAAGCATAGGTGGGCTGATAGTGCTGACTAGCCCTGCTGAAGGTAGCCACATAGGCTACCTGGGCAGCAGATACACCTGAGTCTGTGGTGGGTGCCATAATCTGAATGGTCACATAGGGAGGTGATATGAGTGCTGATAGGGGGAGACATGTAAGATCAATACAGATGTCCATGGTGTGGAATCGAGTGACCCTTCGGGCACAGCCTGAAATGAGTACATGTGGAGGAGCAGAGCACTAAGTGGACTCACCATTTTACACAGTGACATTGCTTCCTCAGAGAACTTCTGGCTATAAACCTCCTCTGTCTCCAGGACCCTCCTGTCCACCTCTTCCCGCTTCACCTTCTCCTTCCTGCCCCTGAACGGACTTTGTCCAGCTATCATCTCATAGATCAAGCAGCCCAGGCCCCAGAAATCAGGACTGAAGGAATATCGTTGGTTATTGAGCACCTCCGGCTGTAAGGACAATTCACAGGCTCAACACATAGAAATGGAGTCAGGCTGCCAATCCTGAGTTTCCTGACAGAAAACTACTCCTTTGGGGTCAGGGCTATACTCACACAGCTTCTATCTTACTAATGAGAAAGCCCTTGAAGGATCCTGTTTTCACTCTGAACTGACATGTTGGGTCATCTTCCCTAAGACAGGGATGCGAGGCAGAGAAAACTAACCGCTATCAAAGTTTTCAACAGTTGTCACTCAACTGTTGTAGTCAATTCAAGCCCATACACAGGCAGATTATATCACAGTTTATTCAGATGACTGCATAATTATATAGTTATGTAGTTGGTAAAGTTGAATAAAGACACCAGTCCATCCCTTTCAAATGGGGTATGTGTGTGCATTCATGTTACTACCATTTTCTATAGTGCTGTACATTGTGCTCCCTAAAAAACACATCTAAAAAGTTTTTGAATTTATCTACACTCCCCGTCGACACCACCAACTGTGGAAGGGAGTTCCACATCCTTACTGCTCTACCAGTAAAGAACCTCTTACACAGTTTAGGATTGAACTGTTTCTCGTCCAACTTCAATGTGTGGCTGTGTGTCTTCTTTAGAGACCTTAGGTTAAATAGTTTAAATCTAGAGTCACCATTTAAAGATTTATATATTACTATCATATCCCCTCCAGGGAAAATGAGTATAATGTTTGTAGTTGTTCCTCATAACTGAGGTCCTCCAGTCCCCTTTTTAGCTTTGTTACCCTCCTTTGGACTCTCTCTAGTTAAAGGACATCCTTCCTGAGGATTGCTGAGCAGAACTAAACGGCATACTCAAGTTATGGCTGAACGTGGCAGAATTATAGTTTTTCTGCATGTTGGACTAATTGGATTGCAAAAGAGGCCAAGCCACATTACATAGCAGAGTCGTATTGATAGGGGATTCTACTCACCCATGTAACCGACTGTCCCCACACGGCCACGGATTGTGTCTCCCTCTGGAATTTTCACAGCTAGACCCAAATCTGATATCCGGATGTGACCTGTAATGATGTAGAACACAGACATAGGAAACACTTTCCTGCTGCAGAAGATCCCCATCATGTTCTTGATAAGTCTAGGTGGCTATGTCACATGCCTATCCTTCTGCCAGGAGGCAACATCAGAAGCCGACCCTTCTCTCAGGAAGTCATGTCACATGCTGACCCTTTCCCCAGGAAACCATGTCATTTTCCGATCCTTCTCCCAGGAGGTCATGTCACATGCCTACCGTTAACCCAGGAGGCTGAGCCACATGCTGCCCCTTCTCATAGGAGACTGCATGACATGCCGACCCTTCTCCCAGGAGGCTGTGGTCTACTCACCATGATCATCTAACAAGATGTTTTCCGGCTTTAGGTCTCTGAATGGGACAAAACAGAAGGGTCATATTCATCAAACTTCATAAAATATTACAATAAATAATAATATAGGCAGCATGGTACTCTCACCGGTACACAATACTTTCTTGATGGAGATCGCCAAGACCACACAATATCTCAGCTGCGTAGAAAGAGGCTCTCTGTTCCTGGAAACCTGGGTTTCCCATGTTATAGATGTGGAATTTCAGGTCTCCTCCATTCATCAACGTCAGCACAAGACAAAGGGCATCCTTCGTCTCATATGCATATGCCAGGTTCACCTAATGTAAAAATAAACATCTTTTATGTCTGAGCGATATTATCATACCATATAGATGAATATATTCTTGCTGCATCCACCAACTGCTTGTTGGTGATACAAACCTGAAGGGCAGCAACCTTGTGCTGATCACACCATAAACATGTGGCCACCTCTTGAGGAGGTTCAGGCGCACCAAATCTACACACATGCTAGCAATTGTCCCTTCATTTCCTTCTTTACATCCAACATTGCAACAGGTATGTGTGAAATATGAATTGCCTGTGAGGCTCTAAAGCATGAAAATCAGATTTTCACTTTGCATTGCACTCTGTGTATTCCAAACACATAGTTAAGGCATGTCCATTGACCTAGTTACTGAATATTTGATACAGCCTTAATTCAAAGCATTACTGAATTTATATTTTCATGATATAAATTAAACAAAATATCTAATTCTCCAGCTGTCCTTGATCGGGTCAAAATGTGGTTGCACAGACCATTCTTATTTCAGGTAATTGTGATAAATGAATTTTGGAAAGTTCTCATGTATCCAGGTCACAGTATAGCTAGTAGTAAACTTGTTTTATAATGTTGAGGGCGTTTCATAGCTTATGCAATGAGTGTGATAAAATGAGGCATAGTAAAGGGTTCTTACTCAATCTGTCCTCCTCGGCTGCTCTCTATGTCCACCATGTACGACCGTTCACAATCTAGAGAACTGTGCCAGATCCTTACCACAAATCTGCTGGTCACTTTTTCCAGGATCTGCTTCTCATTCAGTGCCATTGACTCGCCCTTCCTCTTCTTAATTCTCTTCTTCTCTAAGCGCTTACAGGCATACATTTTCCCTGTGGCACGTACTTGACACGCACACACCTGCCAATTACAATGTCCATTTAGTGTATGTCTGTCCTGCATGCCTGTCAGCAAACTTTCACCTTCATGGGATGTATCACAGAGTCATTTATGAGGATGTCTGAATAAGCAGTGTGGGGGCTTTTATAACACTATAAACTTGTTGTTCCGCGCTTAGCTGAAGTTTAAAGGTTACATCCAGAAGCCTGTACAGTGTACATGGATTATTCCACTTGCTTCATCACCAACGCCTCATCTATCCACAAGAAAATCCAAGGAAAGTTCCATCACCTATTGCCCTCCGATCACCCACCAGCGACGTGGACTCCCAAATGTCTCCGACTTTGTTATCTGACTCCCAAACCCCCTTTCCCAGGTAGGACTGCTCATATATTTGTGTGAAGTATTGTAAAACAGGAAATTCTCATCAAACTAGAAGATATTTTATGATAAATGCTGCCGATGTACTGTGCAAAGACTTCCCTTGTATCACATGTACCTGATGATATCTGGGGTTCATTGTGGAGTCTGAGGAAGGTGGGGACACTAGATGGTCAGTTCAATGGAAAGTGGGGACACTAAAGGCTCAGTTCCATGTGAAGGTGGGGACACTGGAGGGTCAGTTCCATGGAAAGGTGAGGACACTGGAGGGTCAGTTCCAAGGGAAGGTGGGGACACTGGAGGGTCAGTTCCATGGGAAGGTGAAGATAATTGAGGGTCAGTTCCATGGGAAGGTGGGGACACTGGAGGGTCAGTTCCATGGGAAGGTGAAGACAATTGAGGGTCAGTTCCATGGGAAGGTGAAGACAATTGAGGGTCAGGTCCATGGGAAGGTGAAGACACTGGAGGTTCAGTTCCATAGGAAGGTGGGGACACTAGAGGCTCAGTTCTAAGAGAAGCTTGGGACACTGGAGGGTCAGTTCCATGGGAGGTGTGAAACCTAAAGGGTCAGTTCCACGTGAAGGTGGGGACACTAGAGGATCAGTTTTATGGGAAGGTGGGGACACTAGAGGGTAAGTTAAATGTGAAGGTGGGGACACTGAAGGGTCAGTTCCATGGGAAAGTGGGGACACTAGAAGGTTGGGAAACTAGAGGGTCAGTTCCATGGGAAAACTGGGACACTAGAGGATCAGTTCCTTTGGAAGGTGAGGGCACACGAGAGGTTAATTTTTATAACATCCTATCACACATAATTTACTACATGCAAATAACAATTGATTTTGGCAGTGTTTTGTATGTAAGATCCAATTCACAAAAACAATTGCCTAAATTTGCTTTTGTCTTGTAATATTTGTGAGGTTCTATAAGACATCTATTTTGGAAATGTGGATATAAAACATCTCTATGATATGAAATAAGGACACATGACAAATAAAGGATTTCAACAGTAAAAGTTCCTGCATGTTTTTTTTTTGTAAGAATTATTTATATTAAGTGATGTTCTGATGAACTCATTACTGTGAGATACAACAACAAACAATGGCCCATGCATACTCCTCCCCTTCCCCTAACCATGAATACCAATGGATATGTCCCCTGCAATACGAAGATTACTGGAACTCACCTCTCCAAAACCACCTTTTCCAAGAACCCGGTACTGACGAAATGTATTCTTTGTCACTGGCTGCCTAAAAGATAAGAGGATCCTCAGTACTGATCATGACATTGATTTGGTAATCACAGAAGACAGTACTCAGGACACCTACCTCTCCAGCCATTTCCACTGCAGGAATCGGTCAAAGTACATGCTGGACAGATAACACTGGAAGGGCTCTCCGCTTAGAAAATCGTAGACAGACCTGGAAAACCGTTGTCACTTTACAGAGCAGAACTACAACTACAATTATTAGTACATTCGATTATCACCATTGTTAGTACTTCATATTATCACTGTGATTAGTGACCTAAGTGCTGATTTGCAGGGATAAAACCCTAAATGTTATCTGTGTACTCTACAGTACAGGATGGGGGCTGACATGTGTGCACTGCTGCACTGCCCTATATACTCAACATAGTGTGTGGAAGGAACCATTTCCAATGTCAGGGTGGGTCATGTGAAACTTCATATACAGTGTGTACGAGGGAGCCATTTGAAGTGTCACTGCAGGTCATGTGACACTTCAAATAGAACAGTGTATGGAGGAGGCATCTATAGTGGTGGTCAGTGTGCGGGAGGGGTCATCTGTAGTGACTATGTGATACATGTGACATTTCATATATTTCAGTGTGAATGGAGCTGTCTGTAGTGACAGGGTAGGTCAAGAGACCGGAGACCTGAGGCTGTCCATGCATCGGCCAAAAACCTCCCCCCACTGCTGTACATCCAGCCCCACTAATCTGAACCGCACTGCCAAGCACAAGACCCCAAATCTGTCCTCCACTGCAATACATTATGCCCCACTATTCCTTTCCCCACTGACATAGATCCAACCTCACCAGCCCCCCCCCCCCCCCCCCCCACTGCTATACATTCAGCCTAACCAATCCATTTCCCCGCTGCCACACATCCTGCCTCACCAATCCTTCCCCTACTACCAAACATCCAGTCCCACCGTTTCTACCCAACACTACCGTACCTCCAGCTACAGCAATCACTCACCTGCTGCTATACATTGAGCTCTGACAATCCCTTCCCCACTGCCATACATCCAGCCCTACTTATCCATTCCCAACTGCCGTATACCAAGTGCCACTAATCCTTCTTCCAACACTGTACATCCAATCTCACCAATCCTTTCCCCACTACTGCACATCCAACCCCACCAATTCCTCACCCACTGTTCTAAATCTAGTCCCATCACTCTGTCCCTCAATGCTGTACAGCCAACCCCATCAATCTCTCCATCATTGTTGTACATCCAGCCCCACCAATCACTCACCCAATGGCAGACATCCAGCCCTAACAATCCCTTCCCCAGTGCCATACATCCAACCCCACCAAACCATTTTCCCGCTCCTGTAAACCCAGCCTCGCCAATCCTTTCCCTACTACTGTACATCCAACCCCAACAATCCCTCCCCTACTGTCATACAATTAGCCCCACCAATCTATCCCTCACTGCTGTACAGTCAGTCCCACCAATCCTTCCCTATTGCTGTAAATCCAACCCCACCGATCCCTCCCCCTTGCTGTACATCCAAGCCTACCAATTACTCCCCAACTGCTGATATAATGTCACTTACTTGGCACAGTTAGAGAAAAGCTCTTTGTATGGGCTGATTTCCAGTTTCTCTTCCATCTGATGTACAATATCTTGTCCAACTTCAGATACATAAACTGGAGACTGCAGAAAAGCAAATCAAGCTGCAGAATTACTGACAGAATTTAAAAGCATACGCAACTTTTATAGCATATTGTGACCCTACACTTTCATCTCCAGCCAGTTGTTCACAGGCATATATACACATCTTCCTGCTACATTGTGCCTGCACTGCTGTCCCCGCCATCCTTGTACCAGTGTTATCTGGTCCATTTTTCTACATTGTTAAAGCCCTTTTTTCATGTAATCTGCATCTTCAGGATATTCATTTCATACCAAACGTATGCTAGCCAATGATGCCAGCACTCCTTTTCGTCATTTGCCTGAAAGGTACAGACAAAGCAAGGAATAGTTCAAATATCTGTACCAAAATCTTCTGTGTCTGGAGCACACAGGTAAATATTTACATGAAAACATCCTAAACTGTGTGACTGCAGGACACATAATTAATTTCCAGTGACTAAGGATCGTCAAGCCAGGCTTTGGGTTAATGTTGATGATGTTCTGCAGCAAGGAACACAAACTGGACCATAGTGATTTCACATCCATTGTTCTAAACGTGTTCCATCATAGCACTATAGTTATGGTTAATACATAGCATATTACAGGGAAATAACTCTCTGGACCTTCTATATGAAGGTATTTGTGAAAAGAACTGTGGGCATCACAGCCACCAGATCAGAAACTTCTTTTAGAAGAAACTACACAATCTGGTTATCCTGTCCTATTATAGGCATCTTCCTACAGTCAGCCATGGACAGAACAAGACTTGTCTGCAGCAAGTATGTCAGTTAATCTGCCAATTTACCTCCGGGGTGAGGAACTTCAGAATAATCTCCCTTCCCTTTTCTCCTAGTTTTTCATCCGGTGTAACTTCATACTCTGCCTGGAGAGGAAACCAAACAGATGATAAATATGAGCTATACAGACCAATTCCACATGTGGTCATAGAAATCAAGTAAAAGAGGAAACAAAATGGGGATATAAAGGTATGAAATAGTATGAGAATGGATAAGAGATACAAGGGAATACAATAGAATGCTGCGTTAGAAGCATGTAGTGAAAGAATGGAGGGATGTTGGATAAAGGGTAAGAGGATGATGGTGGGGTGGGGCAAGGAGGGTAAAAGCAGTGTGATAGAGGGAAGGTGGATGGAGGGTAGAAGGAGTGTGACGGAGAGATGGGTGATGGAGGATAGAAGGAATGTGATGGAGGGAAGGTAAAAGGAGGGTAGAAGGAATGTGATGGAGGGATGGGGGATGGATGGTAGAAGGAGTGTGATGGAGGGACAGGGGGTGGAGCGTAAGAGGAGTGTAATGGTGGGATGGTGGATGAAGGGTAAGAGCAGTGTGATGGAGAGATGGTGGGTGGAAGGTAAGAGGAGTGTGAAGGAGGAAAGGTGGATGGAAGGTAGAAGGAGTGTGCTGGAGGGATGGGGAATGGAGGGTTGAAGGAATGTGATGGAGGGAAGGTAGAAGGAATGTGATGGAGGGATGGGGGATGGAGGGCAGAAGGAGTGTGAAGAAGGGGCAGGGGGTGGAGAGTAAGAGGAGTGTAATGGTGGGATGGTATATGAAGGGTAAGAGCAGTGTGATGGAGGGATGATGGATGGAAGGTAAAAGGAGTGTGATGGAGGGAAGGTGGATGGAAGTTAAAAGGAGTGTGATGGAGGGATGGTGGATGGAAGGTAAAAGGAGTGTGATGGAGGGAAGGTGGATGGAAGGTAAAAGGAGTGTGATGGAGGGATGGTGGATGGAAGGTAAAAGGACACTGATGGAGGGTAGAAGGAGTGTGATGAAGGGACGGGGTGGAGCATAAGAGGAGTGTAATGGTGGGATGGTGGATGGTAAGAGGAGTGTGATGGGAAGGTAGGAGGAGCACAATGGAAAGATGAATGGAGAGGCAAATGACAGAGGGATGGTGGAAAAGAAGTGACTATTGAGGGTGAATGCAAAGGTTTGCTCCCAGGAACCTTCTGAGCTGCATTCCATTTGTCTTACCACAGTATCTAGGAAGTCAATGAGACACTGGAGCTCTAGCTGCGTCTGACAGAACTGGCGGAAGAGGAACCTCCCAATTGGCTGCTTCTCACACAGGTTATAATAATCTTTTTCTACAAGACAGTTACCATCATTACGATTTTCTTATAAATGAACATTGGCTGTACAAACAATATTACACAACAATGTGATCACATTAGCCGAACCTGCACTGAAAGGACTATGGGGACTTCCATTTTTGACCTCCTTCTAAGTATGCTAAGCTGCCTGGCAGTCTCTTGTTTTACAGTCACTGACATGGAACAAGCATGCTTTTAAATATATGTTTGGAGTGTGGGAGGAAACCGGAGTACCTGGAGGAAAACCATGTAGGCACAGAAGGAACATGCAAACTCCAGGCAGATGGTGCCATAGTTGGGATTCGAACTGACAATCCTAGTACTGCCTGGCGGAAGTGCTAACCATTTAGCCACTGTGCTGCCCAATACCTCACATGTGTGGTGCAACTGCTGTTTATGTAAGGGTGCGGGACAAATACGTGTGTTCCCCTTTGCACGTGAGCACGAGGGGTGGGGGCACTTAAAAATATTTTTTTCATTTTATCCTTTTGTCTTTACATTGTTTCTTTAAAAAAATTTGTATCTCTTTTATTGCTCTCACAAGTAATGTAAACATCACTTGTGCCAGCAATATACAGTGACATGAGATGCTCCTGGTACCTTTCATAAGCTTTTTTGGGTGTGGTTTGATTGTGGGCAAGGACACGGGCCCCATGATTTCCTATTGCCCGGGGTCATCATGAGTTGTTCATCCACCCCTGGTGGCAGGTACTCTTTATGGAGAGTTCTGGGGTCTATTAGACCCCAGATGTCTCCTCTGTCCTAAAAGCATCTGATAACTCTGTGATCAGTGTGATAAAATGCTTTCAAGGTTTAAAAATGGTGCTATTCACTTCCAGGGAAACTGGGAGTGACGACAATACTCAAAGCTTCCAGTTTCCTATACCACAGAGCTTATCGGAGACCTCTCGGTCCCTCATGGGCTCTATGGTAAGCCGGCGTAACCGCCAGCTTAAGTTCCTGGATCTCTAGTGGGACGGAGATCACAGAGAGGCACAGGCGGGAGCCGAAAAAAAAAAAAAAAAAACAATTCTGGGATGATGCCTGCAGTTGTAGGCATCATCCTGGTATACCACTTGAAACCCATAATATATATGTACATTTGCGGGTCTCCAAGTGCATATATTAGGGACAAAGATCCAAGTATTTTACATCACACCAAGCATAATACAGCTTACCCACCCTCTCCATCACGACCAACAACGCCACCATCAGTCCCACCCCGCAAGCCAAAGTCCTAGGTGTCACTCTAGAATTCAAATCTGTCCTTCCAGCCCCATGTCCAATCATTGGCAAACTCATGCAGACTCCACCTCCGCAACATCTCCAAAATACGTCCGTTCCTAACCTCAGACACTACTAACCAACTCATTCACTCCCTTATCATCTCACGTCTGGACTACTGCAACTCCCTTCTCACCGGCCTACCTCATCACAGACTATCCCCGCTTCAGTCTATCCTGAACTCAGCGGCCAGACTCATCCACCTTACCAACCGCTCCGCTTCTGCCACCCCCCTCTGTCATTCCCTCCATTGGCTTCCGATTGCCCAACGCATTAAATTCAAACTACTAACATTGATGTACAAAGCCATTCATAACATTGCCCCAAACTACCTTACTGACCTGATACCCAAATACCACCCAAACCGTACTCTTCGCTCCTCACAAAACCTCCTACTTTCTAGCTCCCTGGTCTCCTCCTCCCACGCCCGACTGCAGGACTTCTCCAGGACTTCCCCCATCCTCTGGATCTCACTACCCCCAATCCATCAGACTGTCACCTACCCTCCTCACCTTTAGGCGCACCCTGAAAACCCATCTCTTCAGGGAAGCCTACCCCACCCTCACCTAACAGCCAATCTCCTCTACTCCTCCTACCACTCCAACCCTCACAGCCACTTCCTCCTGTACCACTATCCCCTCCCTCCTAGATTGTAAGCTCGAAAGAGCAGGGCCCTCGAACCCCTTGTGTATTGTTTTGTTACTGTATTGTCTCGTGTACTGTCCCCCACTATAATGTACAGCGCTGAGCAAACTTTTTGGAGCTATATAAACCCTGTATAATAATAATAATAATAATACTGTAGGTATACACTCCACTGCTGAATCACGCCAACAAAAATCCATGCATATACAGTATATAGGTACCTATTGAATAATTGTATATATACACCTAATACAACTCTAATGTAAAGCATTTTTCTCATGTGCTGTGCTTACTCTATATATTTAAAATGATTATACAGATTTATACACAGTGGAGAGGTTTCATCACCCTAAAAAAGAATCTATTGTTGGTTGCTGAATGGTGTATATAATAATGGTGCACAGACCCTCATTACTAATTACTGGAACAAGCATGCTGCTTAACAAAATCAGAGCGAAGTGCTGGCCTGCATACGGATTCCAGTTCAGTGAAGCATTGATACCACTGACTGAACATCACAAGCCAGGCAAGCAGCATTTTCAAATGGGGGTCAGCAGATTCCGTATTGTCTGTTTACAGTTTTCATATGCAGTGAGAGAATGTCCGTTTACAGCGGCACCACTGCAAATTAATGCAACTACACAAATTTCACCAACAGAAAATTACATTGAACAGGGAGAAGGCTATTATTTTTTGCACCCGGGGGGCCTCAGGGCTTTTCTGATGTTTTGAGGATTGTTCACACTGTTTGGTGACCTGCATTTTTCTGCACTGGATAAACGCAGGTCACCAACAATTGTTTTCTATGTGCCCCATGCACACAACACTGGTGTGATGTGCAATGCATTGCAGTGTGGAAAAATGCAGCATGTCGCCTTAGATGGCATCGCAAGTCACCACACAGCAGTGCAACACACCACTACCAATGTGACACTTCACATAAAGTTGAAAGAATAAAACAAAGCATTTTACAGTGTAGGTCACGGGTGTCAAACTGGCGGCCCTCCAGCTGTTGCCAAACTACAAGTCCCATGAGGCATTGCAAGATTGACAGTTACAAGCATGACTTCCAAAGGTAGAGGTATGATGGGACTTGTAGTTTGGCAACAGCTGGAGGGCCACCAGTTTGACAACCCTGGTGTAGGCTAATGTGAACATAAGTTACCAACATTCACTGGAGACCCCACAGTGGGCACTCACCTATACTTCTCCGGAGTTCCTCACACTGGCTGATGTGTGGAAACCTCAGAATTTCCTTCCACTTCTTACTCTTCCCCTTCCGTTTTCCACCGCCCCCTGGGAAGAAATAAGAGTTCAAATAAAGTCAAACCATTGCATACATTTCATGAGGAGTTGCAAAAAGCAAAGTCTAGTAACAATGGAAAATGATTGGTGGATTATTGGTCTTGTTAGAATTCTTTATACAGTATGGTCCTACAGAACAGACAGTGCACAGGCCACATGTACTTTTCTGCTGCTTCACTGCAACAAGGAAACAGGAAACTGTATTCAGAGAAAGACATAGAGTATACCATAGATGCAGCTACCAACTTATAAACACTGCCATCTGCTGGTTGAAGAATATATCTCTACTGAATACTGATGTAGCTGTTGCACAAAATACATGAACATTGTATTCCAACAGTTCTTATACCAAATTATCAAAAAATTAACACCACGGGCGTGATTCTTCATATATTCTCTATGTACATTCAGCTATTATGTTTTATTCAGGTGTGAAAACTCAAAATATTTGGGTAGGCTGTGAAGAAGAGATGGCTGGGCCAAAAGATGTGAAGGCTCAAAAGTGATATTTAATGTTACATTTCCAGTCAGATAATGAGGTTATTAAAGTGGCATTGAGGTCAAAAATTAAAAAATAAAATTGACAGGCAGCTTTTTTACCCCAGTGGTCTCTTCTGTCATAAATGCCTCTCCCGGCCTGTCAGTGGTAATGCAATCTGAGCAGTGCATGCGCAGCTCGGACTACATGTACAACACCATCTCTGTGCTTTTATGGAGTGACTTCCGTGTGTATGCGGGAGTGACGTCATAGTGGCCTGGCCATTGAAATGGCGGGAGAGAGCAAACCCAGAAGGAATACTGGGAGAAGATGAATGAGCCCCCACTGGGTAGGGAGAAAATAAGATCAGCATTAGGAAGAGGTATCTATTAAGGAGGGAAACAGTAGGTTACCCCTTACAGGGTGTCTCCTCTGTCAGCATCCTGGAAGAGTCTCCCACTGACACCCAGAAATCTCTACAGACATTTGGAGGTTGCAGTGTGAACGAGCTATAACCTTCTCCTAGAATGACCTGCAACATACAGTATGAATTTCTATTGCTGTAAGGCTGCATTCACATTGGCGTTTTAGGCCGGTGTGAATTGTAGCGGCAGGAAACTTCTGATTCCTGCTGCGGCTCTCAGCGGGTTGGTGTGCCTGCCAGGCCCATTCATGATAATGACAGGTTGCCAGCGGCTACAGCCATTCGCGGCTGTACAGACAGCCAGTGATTACCTGCAGTGATCGCCGCTGGACGCACACACAAAATGTGTGCAGCACTAATCACTGTAGGCAATGGCTGGCTACACAGGTAAACTGCCAATGTGAATGTAGCCTAATATTACTACTGGAAAATGCCTTGCGGACAAACGGTGCCCCCTTCTGCCTGAACAAGTGTGTAACTTTTGACATATGTGGTGCCATTGCAGTCAATTTCTACAATATAGACAAAGTTTAAAGCATAACTTCACTCTCTCAGTCAACATTAACTAGTTATAATCCTTATGCTGCCAGCATTAGTAAATCAATAGGAAAGTATATCATATTAACTTGTTTTAAACTTTTTTTCTTTTTACATTTCTTCAGTTACTTTCTGGTTTCCATGCCTAGGCAAATGAATTTCATACATCCCAGGAGTCTTCAGGAGCGTCTTTCTCAGCTAAGCACAGCCTTCTGCCTGTATGCCTGAGCTAAGGGCAGATGGATTCCTGGAACTAAATGCTACATGAATCATCTGCCCTTACTTTAGATAGCCACGGCCAGAAATTCTTGGGAGGTGTTTTTCAAAGTGATTTCTCATCAAAATAAAGCATGGACACATGGATGGACGGGGGAGTTTGCTTTGATTATTAAAAATGAATGAAATAGTGGTTTTGGTTTGTGGTGCTTTAAGTGTCCATGCATGTTTAGTCAATTTCAGGTACACTGGTCAGGCCCCACTTATGAGTATCTCCAACCAGCACCATGTGATTGATCTCTCCATGTGTCCGCTATCACAGTAGAGCACAGGTAAGAATGATGGCCTACTTACGGTAAGGTGCCTTGTCGACGCAAGTATGATTGCATGAATCAGGGAAGTCAAAAGCTATGCAACCTGGAGATACAAACTATAGTGGGTCACCTAAGGAGAATTGTGCACTGATTGGTGGTCACAAAGTTTGATAAAGTGTGCACACATTGGCACTATCATTGTTCACTGTATTGAAAATACTACACTATATGAGACTTAATATTTTTTGGAGAGCAATTTATCATGAAAGAAGAAGAGTGAAAAAGGAGTCATTTACAAGATTCATCCCCCCTTTAATAAAGCGAGCATTTTTGATTGGAGGGTAAGAGTAGGAGTGATGGATTGAGAGTGATGGCACATGGTTTTGGCACTATTATAGCGCTTTTAGAAGAGTGTAATATATATTTTGATTCATTGCATTTAAAAGATAATGCACTATATGCGATTTATATTTTTTTGCATGAGGAGTTAATACTCTATGAAAGCAGGAAGAGGAGCACACTGTTTTTGTCACACATGAATAGGACATTTAAAATATTTTACGGTGAGAACTTTGGAAGAATGGAAGGACTTTCTACATACTGTGAACTTTTTGATTCAATACCAATATGAACGCTGGGTTCTTCTTTATATTATAGCTTCCTAAGGGGGAAGTAATATCCTGCGACTGTGAATTTTATTTGTTTTATTAATTTTATTTGTATTTGTGGATATTTTGAGATTAGTGATTGAGGTCTGTCCTAGTTTTGAATCCTACATATAGTTTATAACCTACCACCTATATCGGGCAGCAGAAACATAGGAAATGTCAATAGTGGATGATCACAGAAGTGACAACAGCAAACACATCAACTCAAAGTGCACAGAAGGCAAAGATAAACCCCTTCAGTACCAAGAAAATCATGTGGATACAACCAATAGAATGAATGTAATCTTCAACAGTCATCTAACCACTAATGTTGCCATGTCAGAAAAAAAAAAATCCAAGACTGTAAAAGACTTATTATGAGAACGTGGAACATACAGAGTATGAATCAAGGTAAATTAGACGTAGTGAAGATATAACTGGACCGTTTACAAAGATGAAGGAAAAGTCAAACGTGTTTATCATCAAACCCCGGCTGAGATTGACAAGATCTGCAAGCTGGATATACTGCTAGTGGCTGGTGACTGGAATGTCAAGGTAGGAAATGAGAAGGAATGAAATACTGTTGGACAACATGGCCTTGGAAACAGAAAGGAAGCAGGAGAAAGATGAGTTTCTGTGACTACAATGACCCAGTCATTACTATTACATTCTTTAACAAAGCAATATCTATATACCAGGACATCACCAGATGGACTTGTTCAAATCCAGGGCTTTTTTTTTCAGACAACAGGTGCAGGAACTCTCCCTGTCCAAGTTAGCCCTTGTTTCTGCCCCCTACCCACCTCTGACCACTGTTTCTGGTTCCACCCCCTCCCTGCACAGCCCTTTTAGAGAATACAGAACCAAGTATTATTTTGTGGCGCTAAGTAATTTAATGGAAAAAATAGATCCCCTGTAGCCAGCAACAATAGACCTCATCCAGCAACAATAGAACCCCCCCCAGCAAGAATGGATCTACCCTCCAGCAATCAGCAATAATAGACCCCTCTCTCAACAGTAGATCCATCTCATCAACAGCTAACACCCCAGCAACAATAGATCCCCCGCCAGCATCAGTAGACCTCCTTAGCACCATAGACCCCCCTCCACAACAGCATATCCCCAGCAGCCAGCATTAATGGACCCTGTAACACACCCCACCATCCCTTACCATTACATACATTCAGTGCTGGAGGTGCCGGAACTGCGTTCCCTGAAAAAAAAGCCTTGGTCAAATCAAACAGACTATATTCTCTGTGCCAATGATGAAAGAGCTCAATTTTAAAAATAAACACGTGGTTTGGATTGTGGAGGAGATCATGAACTGTTAAAGGGGCAACCTTCACACCAACTTGGAGAAAAGCAAAACTGTGAAGGTGATTTACTAAAATTGGTGCACACAGAATCTGGGAAGCTGTGCATAGTAACCAGCTTCTAACTTCGGCTTGTTCAATTAAGCTTTGACAATAAAACCTAGAAGCCGATTGGTTTACTATACAGAGCTGCACCAGATTCTTATGTTCACATCAGTCCAGCCAGACTGATGTGAATTGAATTTGTTTCTATCAAGAGCCCCCTCTTTGGAATATATGTGCCTTGACTACCTTAACTACCATGCTTTCTTTTTAGTGATTTACTTACATTGAGTCTGGATGGTTCCCCATTGGGAAGTTGGTCCTTCTATTTTAAGATGATGTATACAAGACCATTGGCTGTTTACTGAATGTACCTGAATTTCCCACCCGAGAGGCAGTGGCTTCACCTTGGTCTACTCATTTGCACCTCCATGGGCAACATGCGCATGCTTTGAATTCCTCTCTACCCTACTGATTGATATTACTATATTAAAGATTAAGAGTGGGTTCCAGTGTACTGATTCTGTCACATGCGCTGTTGAACAAGGATTCTTGAAACTCGTTGAGTCCACATGTGGATTGTAATCGGAATCTTTGCATGTTGTGAACCCCTATGTTGAGAGTAATTTTTAATGTTTTGTAATAGATTTTTAATGGTACATAATAAAAAAAAGAGTTGTTTTTATGGTACATACAAAGTCCATGACTACATATTTTGTTCATATTTGCACATAACTGAATTATAGATCACGTTTCAAGAAATTACCAAAAATTAATGAGAGAAAAACTTGGACAAAGTAAAAAAGACCAATAAATTGAAGCGGATGACAGGGGATACAGTGAAATTTGCTCAGAAGTTAAGAGAAGCCAAAAGACGAAAAGGATGAAAATCTTGTATAACAGAAGAAATGAAATGTACATTCCAAAGAGCTGCCAGGAAGGATAAAGATCAATATTACGTCAACATTTGTGGGGATTGAAGATGGAAATAAATCTGAAGAAACAAAGATCCCTTTCCAGA